ATAGTGAACAAACTCACTATTTTTTGCAGTCTGAAATATTGAAAATTGCTGATCTAGTGAAATTCCAAACAGCACAAATTCTATTCAAAGCAAAAAACAACGAACTGCCAGGTAATATTCAGATTGTTTTTTTTTTTTTAAGAAGTTATAATTTAAGGGGTTTTTGTAACTTCAAAACAGGGAAGGTACGCACTACAAGAAAAAGCTTTTGTGTTTCTGTGTGAAACTGTGGAACACTTTGAATATGGAATTGAAGCGATGTCCAAACATAAAACAGTTCAAAAAGAGTTATAAAGATATGATTTTCTTCAACTACAAAGAAAGGCAAAATGTTAAAATTAAGTGAATGTCTCTATTTAGAAAATTTAAGGATGTGATATTGTAGTATATAGTATATATTATATCAGAAATTTGTTCACTATTTTTATTACAGATTATATCGGTAAGGAAGATGACTAAATATTTACTGATAACTTATGGTAAAGGGATGGGATTAAATAAGTGTGTACTTCTTCCCACTCCCTTTCCAAATGTAAATGAATCAGAACAGAAGCAATATTGAAATGTATTGACTTTATTTTGTATAGTATTTTTTCTCTCTCTTATTTTCTTTACTAAATGTACCTGTATATTGTTTACATGTTCGAAATAAATTAACAAACAAACAAAAAAATAATACCACCTAATATCCAAGTAATGCACTGATATTTATTTATTGGATACTACGTGCCCAAAAACAAGGGGTAATAATGTGGAAACACAGCTCTGTAATGAAGTGGTAATAGCAGGGTAACAAGGCCGAAACAAGAATGTAATAATGTGGTAATTAATAAGTTATTACCACTCAATTGCCTGTGGTAGTTTCTGTTTAATAAACAGGAAACAGAGCTGCAAAATGCAAAACTGCCTGTTTCTATTTAGTAACATATTAATAACCTATTAAAGCTAACTTAAACAGTATGTGATTATTACCTGGAAACAACTATGGAGGTTTCTGTGTAATAAGCAGGAAATAGCTTCACGATGCAAACCTGCCTGTTTAATAACATATTAATAACCATGTTAATAACCTTTTAAAACAAACTTAAACTAGTGACTACCAGTACATACCTGTGGCAGTTTCTGTGTTATGAGTAGGAATTTAATACCATGGTAATGATAACTGATTAAAACAAGCATTAGGAAGTCTGGAATGAACTGGAACTGTACAAAATCCTACTAGTTATCTCGCTTGTCCAGTTGTGGTGAGGGCAACACCACCGTCCTGCACTGCCTTCATTATTGACTGATCTCTCACCACCTAAGGATCCAGCTTCTCCTGCAGCAAATTTCACAAATACAGACTGTCCTATTCCCCCCCAAAATGGAAAAAAAGGCACCATTATGATTTCTGTCTAAAGTTAAATAAGGAAGTCATCCTTTTCTTTTTCTGCCCCAAAAAGCATATTGGAACTCACTGGAATATTTAGTATCTATCTTTAGAAATAAATCACTACAAAATTTACTGGGCGTGGATAGCTGTATTTTGAGTAGACCACACCTCTCAACGGCCTAATTTTGGGGCGAATACGATAAATATCATCTAAAATATCATAACATATATATATGTAACTAACCACATTCAGGTTCCTATCCATATTTGCAATAATAGTGGTCAGTTTATTTCAAGACAACCTTACTGCTGTGCAACCTTGGTTTTTATAACTACTCCTTATATTGTGTCTACTATTAATCAATACTTATACTACTACTGCTTATAACTATGGTAACTTACCCCACCCTTTCCTATTGGTGGAAAAATGTACCATGTCAACCAATCAAAAAATGATATGGCAACATGGCATTTAGTTGTTTAGGAAGGGGGAAGTTTTAGGAGTGACGGCGGTGTTTTGAGATGTGAGAGATTTGCAACATTTAGCACAAATCTTGTGTAGTGTGTAGTGTAGTCAATAGTTTTGTTGTTGTGTCAGAACAATGAGGCGACTGCTGAATGCTACAGGTGTTACAGCAGTGATACATCTGCTGCTGTCAGGCCTGCAGGTATCAGGCTGTTGTTCTCCTTTATCTCATAGTGGACAGAAATTATTTTTTGGAGTGGCACAAATGATTTGTGTGGCATCAAATTTGATGCAGAGCACATGATTGATTGTTCTGTAAATAGTGTGAAATGTTTATTTAAAAAAAAACATGTAACTTGGATGGATTCGATGCTGGTGTGACCATAGTGCACACATCTGCTGTTGCTCACAGTGGTCCAAGGGACCGCTCAAGGAGTTTGTGTGTTTGCTCAGACACATGAAAAATTAGAGGGAACATTAGGGCTGTGCGATATGACCAAAATCTCATATCCCGATATAAGACATCTACCGTCCCGATAACGATATAAATCACAAAAATTTAACATTTTCTGTAAATTCTGTGAATCTCGGGCAGCTCGACTTGCGTGAAGTGTTTCCAGCTGGGTGTCGTGTACCTGGAGTCGAGTGTTTTAACCGATGCATGAAACGATACATTTTTAGACATAAGTTGTAACGGCTGCCGTTTTTTTTGTGAGTATTTATTACACGGCGTGCTGCGGGGAAAAGCGTGTTCTAACGTTTGAGTCTAAGGTTTATTTTTTTAGCACCTGACGGCTCTTCTTTGCTTCTCATCCGTAAATACTCTGCATGCTCTTTCACGTGATTCAGTTTATTTTGAAAAGTCTCAACAGAATCTTGAGCTTTATTGTGAAAGGTTTATGTGGAAATTAAACAAGCGGACACGCGATGGTTTTACCATCGCTGTTGCTAATGACAACGCATAAAAACAGGCGCTTGTCCGTCTGTAGTGTGGTTATATTAAATATAAGAGAAAGAGAGAACTTAAGAAATTAATATAGCCACCACAGTGACCATCAAAACAATGAAAAAATATTGCCGTAAACAGTTTATTTTGTGACACCACGAAACAAACGATAGCGTAAAATGAAACGATAGATGTTTTTCTATCATCATCCGATATATATCGTTATATTGAACAGCCCTTGGGAACATTGCTCTTGGGTGAGGTTTTCCAGGCATGTCCCACCGGGAGGAGGCCCCGGGGCAGACCCAGGACACGCTGGAGAGATTACATCTCTTGGCCGGCCTGGGAATGCCTTGGTGTTCCCCTGGACAAGCTGGAAGAGGTGGCTGGGGAGAGGGAGGTCTGGGCTTCTCTGCTTGGGCTACTGCCGCCGCGACCCGGCCCTGGATAAGCGGAAGAAAATGGATGGATGGTTGGATAGATGGATGTTATGATCCACTGGTTTATGCAAGCATATCTACGAGGACATACAGATCTACGAGAGAACCCAAAAAGCAGGGAAATGGTGGCTAAAGTTAGCAGGCGATGCCTCACTTCTTTGCCTTTATCAAGGGATAACATTGAAAGTGCAGACTCCCAGTAGGTAGCAATCTGCCTCCTACTGGCATTCACTCTGTTTCCATGGCAGTAGAAATGAAAAGCAAAGAAAAAAAGGTACACAGAATATTTTTATGTATTATGATGAAAATTTGGATGAAATTAAGTTAATTAGGGCAATAGTGAGTGTGGATCACTTTAAATAGCCAGTTTAAGTTTGCTTTAATAGGTTATTAATATGTTTTTAAATAGAAACAGGCAGTTTTACATATGTGGTCCCAAAACTCCTCCGTAATTGTCAGATTGCCTACTTTTTCCCACTTCGCTTTAACAGAAGCAGTCCTGTCATTTTTATACCACAGGATGCTGTTTTTAATCTGGAAATAATTTTATTGTGCACTCCAGGTTTAGTTAATGATACAAATGTTTCTAGTCAGATGTAGCACTTACCATCCTGTTCTTGTTTCCTGAGGTAGCTCTGACATAGCCTGGACTTATGTTTTGGGTCATTATCTTGCTGTAGAATGAACTCTTGACCAACTAGGTGCATACCAGAGAGTATTGGATGGGGCTACAGAAGCAGTAGCAGTTTTTGATTCAGGCGACACGGGCGGTTGCCCAGGGCACTATCACGGCATCGGAAAAAAAAAAAAAAATTTACTCATACTCATGCTGCCCCGACATCATACCGGCGCATATCGGGAATGGCGTAGGCACCGATCGGTTTTCTATCGCCCATTTGCTGGGAGTAAGGGCGCCCTCTGTTTGCGAGGTGCACCTGCTGCTTGCGGCACAGGGAGGAGAGGGCGGCGGGGGATTCTCTGGCTGGCTGGAGCGGCATTTAATAACCAACTTGCAAAATAAAACAAAATTAAAACAAACCAACAAACACGAAAACACCAGACATTATGATACAGACTTATAATTTGCACCGATGTTTTTTCGAAATTCTATATGCGAAAAGTGAGCATGAGAGCCCTCGGTGCGCCTGCTCGCTGCTGAAGTCAAAGTAAACTTTATTGTCATCTCCACTACATACAGTCCAGTATATAGAGAGACGAGACGACGAAGCTCCAGTTACAGCAGTGCAAGTAAACAAAAAATAAATATAAGAAGAATAAGAAAATAAATATACACTTTAGGACTCGGGGTAAAGGGATCAATAACAATTTAAAATGTATAATTTATAGTTTGATGATTTAAAGTCTCACACACAACCCATCGAAAGGGGAGGGAGACCTGCTGCTTCCAAATAGAGCACATTTCATTTATAATGATGTAAATCCAAGCCCATTATGTATTCATGATTTGAACCCTGGGCTGTGCGAGAGGGTTAGGGCCCAGAGGGAGTGTTCGCCCAGGGCGCCAAACAGGCTAGGACCGCCACTGTACAGAAGCCTGTGGTAGCGGTTTTGTTTCAGGGCGCCTCTCACTTTGTACAAATCACCGACCCTGGATCCAGCAAAACAGCCCCAGAGACTTTCTTTTTACTCTGGTCACACCGGTGCGACCTAGGATTTTTTTGGCGGAACATTAGCACATTGGCGAAATGTGCAGGTGTCGCCATACAGTATTGGATTATTGTGGGAATTCCCTATATCATTATATGTGGGAATTCCCTATATCATTATATGTGGGAATTCCCTATATCATTTCCTCTTTCTGCGCATCTGTGCAGAGATGCGCGTGACACACAAATCGATTGAACAGCAGCAGCACGGAGTTGGTGCTGCAGCGCTTTAACGGCGCATTCAGCAACACCTTCATGATTGATTTAGGCCACGATATGGACATAATGTTGTCAGCTTTTGGCGGAAACTTTCTTTTTTTTTTTTTCACTTGAATGGCTGGTCGCACTCCCACGACCTAGGATTTTTTTTAGTCGCACCATTGAGAAATTAGGTCACATTTGCGACCAAATTGGTTGCACTCTAGAGCCCTGATATGACCACTAATAAGCTGTGCTTGAAGCTGTTGTCCTATGAGCTGCGTATCACACAAACTCTCAGAAACTTGTTCTCTGATTCAGTTGTGGCTTTGGGGCTGCCAGACGTCTTCCTTTCAGAGCTTGCCCCAGTTTTTTTAGTGCCTTTTGATGGTGAAGGAAAATGTCCTCACTGACACCATGACTGTCTTTGCAATTTCTCTGCAGGATGGACCTACATTTTTAAGTGTTATGATGGTCTGTCTCTCTTCCATTGTTAAGTGCCTTTTG